GGTTGGGGGTTAGAGGTTTGGGGTCAGGGTAAGGCGTTAGGCTGGGGCTTGTCTATTGCAGGTACGGCTACGAAATAAGATCCGACCACAAATCATATATTGCTTTATGTTATTAATTAGACACTGTATGAAACTCAAAAAATTTCCAATGGAAATGTACCACAATGTATAGTTTACAACGAGCATTAGTAAAAGTAAAGATATAATGCTGCTTGAATGGAGATTTCAGGGATCTAAAAATATTAAAACACAAACTTTTTAAGGTTAAAATATACTTTTTCTTCCAAGATTACGTTTGAAGATGAAGAAATTTTTACAAATTCATGCAGAACCGATATTTCGTCTATGCCCTTGCTATGATTCGAAAAGTGGAACAGAAAGGGAGCCGGTTAGGAAAACGAGCACTTTATTACCAATAGAAGCGAACAGGCGAGTTCCAGCAAGCGGTTCCGAAGAAGAAGATACGATCAATGGAACAGGAAGTTTATTGGACCGAAATTTCGGGTTCTCGCTCGGACGCATCATTTTTTTTATTGTATTGTATTTTAGGGTAATAGGCAATGCCCTTGATGACCCTATTGAAAACGGGGCATAAAATATGAATGTTAAATGTACATCTTACTAAAAATTTGTCAGTAACATATTTGTTTACGGAAAACTTTCACAATGCGAGACTGCAAAGGGTGCGGCAGGCGGTCTTCTCAGTGTACACATGAAATTTTAAGTGCAGTTATATACAATCAGCATAAAGCGCAGTCATTTGCATAGTTTGGGAGGGGGCATCTCATAAAGAGTCAGGGGTGTGTTAAGTAGGGATGAAATCAAGAAATGAAATTTATGGCTAGCTGCAGGTAGTCCTGTTGTGAAAGTCGTCCTTTATCAAATATCAAACGATCCAGCTGCCTTTTGAATACAGCGATTGTATCAGATGTCACTATTTCATTTGGGAGTGAGTTCCATGGTCGAACAACACGCTGGCTGAAGGAAAACTTCCGATTGTCTAGGCGTGTACGCTCCCGCTTGACTTTGTAAGGGTGACCGTGCAGGTGACTCGTGGTCGCGAATTCGAAGAAGTCGTCAGTTTTGAGCGAACATTCATGCCCGTGGATAATGCGGAATGTCCATAACAGGTCACACCTCATTCTTCTATAGGATAGGGGGAACAAATTTAACTGGATCAGTCTTTCTGTGTATGACAGAGTCCTGAGACCGTCCACCAGTTTTGTGGCCCGTCGTTGCACCTGCTCTATGGCATCACTGTCTTTCTTCATCCAGGGCATCCATGATGGTATTCCGTATTCCAAGTGCGGTCTGACGAATGTGCCGAATATCTGTGAGAAGAGTTCTGGAGGAAAGATTTTGAAGGCACGCCTAATCCAGTGCATGATGCTGGTTGCCTTTTGGACGACTCTTTTGCAGTGCTGAGAGGGCAGCAAGTTTGAGCATGTCCAGACACCTAGGTCTTTGTGCGTGTCCACTTCATTTAGTGGAACCCCATTTATGATGTACTGATGTCATCAAAGACAGTTGCAGATAAAGGTGGTGTAGGCACAAAATGCAGTATTTATCATTCGTAGATGTTGTGGGGCCACACGCGTACTATAATTGACAGTTCTCATGATCACCGTTCGGGGTCGTAATTAAGGCGATGGCGGCTCGTCAGCCCGCGTCCGAGTCGTTAATTGACGCAATTTCTTTATCCGTGTTGAATGTTGGCGCGATAATTACTCGGCCATTTGGCTCGATATCACTGGGGTTGTTGCTTGCCCGCGCGCCCCCCAGGTGACTGATTCTCCTGCTCAGGGAATGCCTCAGTACTGAGCATGGAAGGGGGCAGTCGTTGTGCTTGTTGGTGGATTGCGAATCTGAAAGCCATAACTCGAGCAGTTGGCGGTTCACGCGGTTGTCGTCTCTAGCAAAAATTTCTGCTTCGCCAAACTTGCATGTGTGGTTTGCTCCCGTCCAATACGCCACGACTTGGGAGCTGACATCTTTCCTCCTCAATGCTGCTGCGTGCTCGGTCATCCGCGTCCGGCCTCTCCAACATATTTGTTCTGTCCACAACTGCACAAGATCCGGCAAACGACTCCAGATTTTTGCTGCCGCGACAGCGGGTTCTTCGGCCTCATGATCTGGCGCTGTATGGTTGCCTCCGGCCTGTGTGCAGCTCAAATTCGAAGGGCTTTAGGAGGCGGTTGACGACTTCCGAGACATTCTTCCCGCACGGGGCAGTTCGACAGAATTCAGAGTCGATTGGATTTGGTTTCTGGTTCCGGATGCCTACGCACTGGTTGACAAAGTTGTATGTATATCCATTCATCTTGTGCACCTGTCGAAGATATTAGGATTCTGCACTCCTGTCTCCTGTTTCACTTCAGTGCGTCTCAGCGAGCCGGTATAGCGCCCTCATGCAAAGGCGTTTGTTGCTGATTGGGCGGTTCCTGTTGTAGCTCAGTACTTGTGTCGTGTTTTTCAATTCCCTGAACACTCTGGTTTTTCGGCCACTGCAATGTTTGCAGCAAACGAGGACATCCAGATAGGACAGCTGTTTATTGTCTTCCTCCATCGTAAATCGAATATCCGGGAAGACGGTGTTGAGACCTTCTTTGAATTCCAGCACTTGTAAGCGTTCGATGACGACGAAGGTATCATCCACATACGGAGCGCTGAATTTCACTATGTGGTGTTGGAAAACCAGCGACTCCAACCGTTATATGACCGTCTCGGCCATGAGTCCTAAAATCGGCGAGCCCATTGGCGCGTCATTCACCTGCTCGTAGATTGTTCCGTCGAGTATAAAGTGTCTTCAGATAGAATTTCAGGAGATGAATGATTTGGGCGTGTCCGCGAAGATTCGCCATTTCATCGTTTTAAGTCTCTCCGGGAAATTTAAAGCGCGCTATTCGGCTGTCCGGATTAGCATGCGCGGTGAGCAGCCGCACTGTTTTCGTTGTCGTTTCTCCATAGGCCGTGGCTCTGCACCATTTCCGCTCCACGTAACACTTTTATAAATTATATTTAAGGTTGTGCACGTGAATGTGGCCCCCCAACCTTAATACAGGTGACTTTGCCCTAGATTTTAGGGGGGTTAGTGTGATGGTTAGGAGGCTGATGACCTGTGTTATGGGCTAGACACAGAGTTCGATTTATGGGGGTAAGGTTGGGACTCATGATGAGGTACCCTTCTAGAATCTACTGCATTGCAGGAGATACATATTTTCGTGTCCAATCACGTTTTGATCTACGTGGGTATGAAAAGTAAATGGAATGATGTTCGGCCCACTATGCAGTCAATTCTCACTAAATATGGGTCCTCTGATGGCCGGAACGAGGTTTTCACGAAATGTGACATCACGACGTTATTGAAATACGCTGGGATTATGCTGTATGCTAGTGGATATAGGAGAAGGCGGTTACCGATTGCATCACCGTACCTATTCGCCCCGTTCTGCTTTGGGCCCGTAGGAAGTCTCAGGACAAAACGAGGGTTGGATTCCGTTATGGGACGAATCAGAAATGTTAACAAATATTCATTGTTGTGTTTGGCAGGAGCCGTCAGCTTATAGTCATACGTGCATCGTCAGACCTGTTGACTTAGCTTATGCTATATCTTTAATCATGGTAATTGCCGACATTTTATGTGCGGCAGGGTATATCGGACAGTTTAAGGTTATGCAAAGCTTAGGTAAACCCTTGATGAGCCTCTTTGACCACACAATTACAACGTAAGTCCTCCCCATGGCACCCTGTTAAAGCGTTCTGCTACATATGATAATATGAATAACGGAGGTAGTATTCATTCCGAGATGGTACAATTAAAGAAGACTAGTCGGAAAATCGAAGTATAATTGTCAGTTTTTAAGTCGGTTACATTAACCTGTCGTCAGACGAAATGAGAAGTTTGAGCGGGAAGGACATCGAGGTTACATCGACAGTCTATATGTGGGGGTGAAGAACGTGCTTGTATAGGTGACAGACGTTAGGGGAGATGTTGAGTGTTTCACACATGGTTCACTCTGTGGGGGAGGTGCTGAATTCGTGATATTCTTCATGGCCGAA